AGGTGGAAGGTCTCAGGGTAGTGATTCAATTCAAGAAGTGACAACAATTCAGTAGAGGGAACTACATGTGGTTAGCAGAGGAGGGGGTTCCAGGAAATGCCAGATCCAACGTATGGGCCCTCCACAAGACCTGAAGATGTCCCCATCCCAGACACAAAGGATCCCAGAGTCTGTCTGTCCACTGCGGTTGGCCTGGGAGGGACTAAGTGTCATGCTCACTTGTACCATAGCAGGTATATTAGCACTTGCAAGAGCTTGTAGGGCTGGGGCAAGGTGCCTCAAAAGACTGAACCTGCTCTGAATCAGATTTAATGCAGGTCACAAAAATTTACTAGATTGGCCTATGATAGTCACCTACAAGGTCAAATGTAGACAAATACAAAAGATCTGCCTGAGTGCTCAAGATCTGAAGGATCCAGCTGAAGGTCTGGAGCCCACAGAAATGTCCCATGGAGTTCTCACCAGGAGGCCAAAGGATCCTTGATGGAACACTAAGGGATCCACACCAGGAGGTTGAAGAGCCAGTGCTAGGAGCTAAACAGTCTGCAAAGGGGGAGGCAAAATCCAGAGCTCCTCCACAGAGAACACCCGGAGGTATGTTCTGAATCCCTGCTGTCTTCAACTCCTATTGAGGATCAGACAGGGGTGGTCTCTGGTCAGCAGAGGAATGGGTTACAAACCCTGGTCAGAGTTAACAGGAGGACTCAGGATTAACGGGACCTGCACTCCAGATCAGAAGGTGACCTCTACCCTGCCATCAGCCAACCCTGGGAGGGTGTGGGCAGGGTGGCCCAATGCTGTGTTCCTTGGCCTTTGTCTCTGGGGTGCCAGGGAGAAAATCAGCTGGAATCCCTCCCTCCTCTTCTCCTTTTATGCAGTTTTGGATTTGACAAGAATCCTTAAAGTGCATTTCCCATGCCCAGATGCACCCTGAATCAATTCAGCTAGGCAGAGCCCACTGAAGTTGGCAGTCAATTAACCACAAGAGCAGGAAACAAGAGAGAAGAGGGCTATGCCTTGGGAGAGAGTCAGCTCTTCTCAGGTGGGGTGGGGCTGAGGGAGGGCCCCAAAAGAAGAAAGATGGAGAAGTGACAGAAGCATGTAGGGAACCCCAATCTCAAAAGTGACAGGGGCTGGGCAGATTGCTCAAGGGCATAAGCGCCTGCCTGGGCAAGCCTAACATCCTGAGTTCAATCCCCAGTACCACACACACAAAAAAAAAAATCAAAAGTGAAGGGAGCCATGTCCCGCAGCAGTTCTGGAGACTCCACACAGAGGCAACAGGATGTGGCACCTGCTCACTTCTCCTGAGGACCCTGGGACTCTCAAGGTCTGAGGAACTTGACCAGAGAGGATTGGTTCAGGTCAATGTAGGAAGCCCCATGGACATGAGGATTGTGAGCATCAAGGGAAGACTGAGAGTGCACCCTTCCCAGAGCACAGCTGGTGGGTGCTCCCCCAATATCAAGAAGCCTGCACAACCAGACGAGAAGTCTGGCTGAGGCCCCACTTGGTCCTGGGAGCCAAAGGCTCTCTAAGAGGTAGCTGGGCTCAGGTGACAGAAGTAGGATCTCAGGCCCAGCCAGGAGTCAAGGCAAGGGCCTAAACCTGTCCCTTTCACTACCCACGGAAAACCCAAGGACAATGAGTACACTGGCTCCTGTTCACCACTTCTCTTCTAGTGTTATAACAGGAATTAGTGGGACAAGAGTAAGAATTTTGTTAGGAAGTGGGGACAGTGGCCCACAAAAGAAATTTTCAAGTCCAAAATGAAGTCTTCTGAGTCAGGACCCTCCAGGGATCTTACAAAATTATCTCCCAGGTGTCCTGCAGCTCTACAGAGCCTCTGCAGAGCGTGATGAGGCAGGCTATTTGCTTAAGCATGCATAGGCCCTGCATAGAGACTGGGTGGACACTGCAAGAACTGCATAGAGTAGACCAGAAAAGTAAGCAGTCTTTTTAAAAAAATAATTTTATTGAGAAACAAATAGCAATGAGACAGTTTCGAAATCGATTACTAACACAGTTTCAATAATTAGTGCATATTGTTGTCTTAGTGGTTATTCATTGTGCAAGATGCAGACATGATATCCCATCCGCAAACACTATTAGAACAAATCTTTCTATTCACTGAATTAAGAGAATATAGCTGTATATCTATCCTAACTATTTTGAATATACAAATACAAAATGATCCTTCACTTGTATCCCCCTTTTTGTTTAATTTTGTCAGAGAAGGATATTCCATTGTCATTTAAATATTGTAGGTGTGTGAATTCTGCAAAATATTACAATATAGTCCAGTAGTCCATAATAGTAGT